CACATTTATTTGCAATAAATGCTTCATTGCATTGCGACATGCTTGCAATTTATTTTTTATAGTTTTTGTCAACTCTGGGTTATTGTGCCAGATCTTGATAATCTCTTCCATAAGATCTTGCTAATTAGCAAGGTGTTTTTTTCCAATCTCTTGCTTTACTATTTCCCAAAAGTTTTCTATGGGGTTAAGATCCTGCGAGTTGTCGGGCTTTAGTAATACATCAACTAAGCCATAACAGTTTTTATTGTGTGGCAAGTTGCACCATCTAGCATAAATATAAGATTTTTGACATTATTTTTAATATTTTTGAATTTTTTTTATCACTATTTGACTTTTTTGGCTGAACATCAATCCCTCTTTTTTTAGCTTTCTACAAATGGTCCGGTCTGACACAACAATTACAGCTTCATGGATAGACTTAGTGGCTTTTTTTTCTGTTTTTTATGCAGATATTTCTGATTATACTGTCCGCTCTTAGTGTTTTCTTGCGGTCATTGAGAATAATTTGGATTTTGTAAAATACATGTTTATTAATTTTTAATGCAACTATAATAATAACAACAATGTATAATGCAGGTTGTTGACCAATGGTTTATAATCAAAATTTAATATGGCTGGCGGTAAAGGTAAAGAGAAGTTTAAAGAAACAAACATTAGGTATTTACTTGTAAGTTAAGTGTAAAATTATATATTTTTTAAAAATCACAGTTCGTTTTTTTAATGCTATTTTATTTTTAACTTTTTGATGTATTTGATGCAAATAACTCAGGCAATACCTTTTTTTATAGACAGCGTTTTGTCAATTAAAGTAATTGCTACAGTTGCCGAAGTAAGAAAAGGAATAATGACTTTATTAAAAAAAGCACTCGACAGATCAAATGGCAGTTGTTGTCGCATCAAAGGCGATTCACCCGATGTATAACATTCATACTTTTTCTTAGTTGTTCTGGAACTATTGATAATAGTTATCATTGCTAAATTGATAAACATATTACTGATAAATAAAACTTTTTTTTTCAAACATTTTAATTTATTTGCATTGTATATAAAGTCCGTTAAAGCAATTTAGTTGTATCTGATTAATTTACTAGAAATATAATACTCTTCGCGCAAATTGTTGCTTTTTTATTGTGTTAATTTATTGCAAAAGGTCTATAGATGATATACGCATTACATATAAATAAAGATATTGTATACTATAACAAACCTAAGAGAGAGATTTTTTTGAAACGTTTTTAAAATTTCTAAAATCATGAAAACGCTGTTGGAAATTTGTTGTGCATATATCATGATAAAGATACTTATGTTTTAGGTAATAAGCTAAGTCAGCGAGTTCAACACACATTAAAAAGATTTTTATCTTAGAAGAAGATTTTTTCTTTCTTATATAAAAAAAAAGTTTTTACATGTAAACTAAAATTTTATTTAAAATTAACTGGTCAAGAGTCCGAATAAGTACGGAAAGTTATGAAAAAAAAAATTATATTCTGAAACCTAAAAAAAAAAAATTAATTACTCTAGAAGGTGACAAACAGAAAACCCACAAAATGCTAAAATTAAGCCCTAATTTTAGTTTCGTCTAATTCGGTAACAGAAATGCTTAAATATTAAGATATAAATATTAATTGATTTTTGTATTTACGAAATGTACGCTAACTCATAAACTACTGTTAAACTACCTTGCGGTTATCTAATTAAATCCACCAAATCCGTTAACAAAAGCAGCTTAATTAATAGATTCAAAACCATCTGATTTTTGTATTATGATATGTGCGCCAACTGTACTCGAAAACCAATAAAACTCGACCATGTGGCCTTTTTCTCTTCATATCGATTATAACGACTGTAAAGCGAGGGACGACAAGTAAGTTTCATCAACAAGTTTAATTATTGTAATCTTTGTTTAAAAAATTAAACTTAATTTATAATTACCATGTTAATATGTTTGAAGTTAATATGTTTTTGACTCAAGAATAAACATTAAGATTTTAGAAATAAGCAGCCAAGATTCAGAAGGTTAAAGTATTCTTTTTGTTTTGTATATCATTATTTAATTAAAGAGATAAAAAGAGATGATACGTCAATAATAGATTCAGAAGGTTAAAAAATTCTTTTTATTTTGTAAATCATTATTTAATTAAAGAGATAAAAAGAGATGATACGTCAATAATACTGAGATATTTAGCCTATTATTTTATTAAGAGATTACATTGAGATAATTTTGTATATCTTTAGGCGACGAAGAAGTTTCTGCATTTTTTCGAAGTAAGCCACTTGTATATACGATATATAGTTGCAGTTACATATATTCTAAAAGTGTTGGAGCTGTAATTGATTCACGTGTGAATAAAACGATGATTTAATTTAACCGAATTTAATTGAAATCAACCAAGAAATGCCAACCTCCCTAACTTCTTGAATCAAACACACCGCCCTAAATTTTTGTAGGTTTTAAATTTATTTTATTTAGAAAAATTATAATATTCTGTTGAGAAACTAAGTAAGCAATTTGTTATTGTTGTTGTGCTCTTTTTTTTTGTATTACACATTTATTTAACATAAAGTTGTTCAATATTTGGCAAGTTAGTTTATTTTAATGAATATAAGTTTTTTATTTGATTTAGAAAGATTAGAACTTTCAATGGGTTTCAACAGATTTTGATTGTATTTAATTTGTGTATTATAGATAAAGATATAGCATTTTACTTTCAAAAAAAAGGTCTACTCTATGGTCTTTTAGCTTTTTGATACAATTTTTAGCATTTTTTTTTTTAGGGTTTATATTTTAACAACTAAGTAAGTTAAGATACTGTTCTTGTGTATTGTTTCTTTATTTTTATATTTCTTTTTTATTTTTTATTTATTATTTTTTTTTTTTTGTTGGTTTATTTTGTTTCGTGATTGTTATTTATGCCTTTTGTTTTGTTCGAACTTTATTTATGGTTTTCATATATTGTCAAATATTCTGCATTTTAGTTTCTTTCTTAATGTTAATAATTTTTTTTTATTCTATTTAGAAAAATTAGAAAATCAATTGGTAAGCAAAGTTCAATTATGTTTCATTTTGTTTAATTTTAGCACACGTATTTTGATGTTTGTGTGCGGTTTTATCATTGTAAAATAAACTTTTCAATTGATTAGTATATGTTAGTTTATGTAAATACATTTTTTACTTCCACTGTAGCGTCATCTGCAGTACCATCAGGTAATGTGTTTCGCATTCTTATGCAGTTTTATGAGTGTTATGTGTATTAAAACTTAAATATAGTATATCTTACAGATTATTTTACTTGTTTATTATTTTGTTTCTACATTAGCACCATAAGCAATAACATCAAGTGATCTATTTTGCATACTTAAGCAGTTTTATGGGTGTTATGTGTATTAAAACTTAAACATTACTTTCTTTAATTTTTGTATGCAATTGTATGACTGTTTAATGTATGTTTGTTTATAAACATTTTTTGCTAACCTCCACAATAGTATCAATATCTGCAGGGCCATCAGGTAATGCGTTTTGCATACTTATGCAGTTTTATGAGTATTATGTTTATGAGAGTTTTATGTGTATTAAAATTTAAAGGTTGCATATTTTTAAGTTTTAAATCATATTTATTATCATATTTGCACATCACGATTTCTTCAATATCGCTTACAGCACCCAGGTCCGATATCTCAAAAAGCCTTCTACCGGTAGTGTCAAATTGGGGGAGATAATCCCTATTTTAGATGAAAAAGACAAACTCCATATGACACCACTGGTAGACGGAGGGGTACTGGGATGCGGTTCAAAACTTTTAATTTCTACCAGTAGTTTTTTTAAGCTACTGGTAGAAATATCTTCTTTTTTAATTATAAAGAAAATTTTCTTTTTAAAAAAATGTGTTATTTTTTTAATTTTGAAATATTTTATTTTTCAATTTTTATACTTTCACCCCTTTATTTTTATTGATTTTCTGTCTTTAATTCTGTCTTTAAACTCTAAACTTACAAAAAAACTCTAATGTTATAAAAGCTTTTAAAAATTTTCCTTAAATTTTTTTATTAATTTACGTTTTTACATCTTTTTATCCTCATTTTTAATTTTAACAATACTAAAGTTTCTTTTGTATCAAATTTTATTTGTTAAGTGTTATATAGTTTTTTAAAGATATGTAAATATATTTAAAAATTTTATCTTTCTGTGATATCTGTTTAATATGTTTAATATATACACTATACACCTATTAATCTATTTACATTATTCTTCTTAGATATATTATAAAAAAGTATTTAAAATCAGTAGTCAGCCACATGTTGTCTATATGATGCAACATGTTTGTAATTGTTGGCATGTCATTTTTTAATTTGTAACTAATTTTACTTTTTAAATTACCACTAATATGACTTTTAAAATAATACAATTTTTTACTTGTTTCAAAAAATACTGTTTAATTACTTACAATAGCAAACATCAAGCAGGCGGACCGATAACGGACCGCTGTCAGCACTTATGTCGTACCGACGTCGGCCGCCCGTTGCGTTGCCGCGTTGGCTTGCACATCGTATTTACATCGGTCCGTTAGCGGAAAACTAAAGGCGGTTCGACAGCGGACCTATGGCGGCAAATCGACAACGTTTGAGCAACGGTCCGTCAGCTGCTAATCGATGATAAAGCCATTGCGGAATAGCATAGGATCTATAATAAGTTTTGACTAAGATTTGAATGCATTGATATACATATAATTATTTTTATTTTTTTGTTTGAATAGAACGCACTTATCGTTAGCAAAAATCTTTATATCTTTCAGCTCAAATTTTTACTCATAAAAAAATGCAAATCCTGCCAATGCCTGGAAGACACATCAAATATCTTTTGACTTTGTGCATAGGTATATAGATAAAATACGAATTTATTATACTAAAATTCTCCTACCACCGAAAAACACTACCCCAACTGTAAATCATTAGGTCATACGTGGCAAAGCTTAAGCTTGGTGAACCAAAAGACTAATCAGAAGTTATAATGAAAATCATTTTAAGATTGCAATTTACAATTACAACATGAATATAAAAGTAACAATATTTTTTTTTTAAACTAAAACGAAATATAAAGTATATTTCCATGTATAGATTATTGCTTCACTTGCGTTTAGCGAACGTTTAAAATATAAAATAGTTAATTTTCAACATATCTATAAGTTCAGTTTATTCTCATTTCAATCGAAAACTAAATATATTCAGAAAACCATGTGTTGAAAATTGGTTTACGTTACAGTCTGCAGACTTCTAACTTTCACCTAAAAACAGGCAATGATATATAATGAAAATATTGAAACAGTCAAGTTTAGAGCTATTACAACAAAGATAATAAACTAACCTTCTCAGCCCTTAAAAACATGTTCGTTTGAAAGTCTGATCACCAGTTATTGACAAATAACTTCAGATACTAAGTGCATCAACATTGAATAAATATAAATTTAATTTCAATATTTAAGCATAATTTAAAACATAAAAACAAAAAAAATATTGTTTTAATTGAAAAGCTTTGGAAATAACTTTAAAAAAAAAGCTATATAAAAATAAAGTCATATTTCGTGCCTTTTTTAAAAAATAAAACTTCATATACAGTAACCTACCTGGTATACCTAAGCCTATAAATGTGGGGTATAAATATGATTGAGGGGTTTATGAGTAATAAAAAAAAATTGTTATTTCATTAAAAAAATTTTCTTTAATTTTAATTTTAATTTAACAAATAGAATAGTATTTAAAAATGAGATACTTATATGCCAGGTTGGAAGTAAAACCGTAAAACCCACAGCAACTTAAGGGCGATGGTGAACCTTTTGCAAAGCATAAGCCTAAGACGCAAGTGCACATCTGAAAAAGAAAGAATCAGAGACAGAACACATCAATAAAAATATATTTTGATAAACTAAAATATAGTTTGTATATTGAACATAGTTTTCACCATACAAAAAAAAAACATAGTACAATATAATATACTATAAAAATTCCTTGAAAAATATAAAAAATCAAATAATTGATTGAAATAAAACGGTTTAGTAAATAAGTATATAATTTTTTTCTAATAAATTATTTGTAAGTATATAAAAAGCAAATAAATATGTTTAAAAAAAATATGATTTCAATCCAGTTTGCAAATCAAACATCTATCTTATACCAATGGCAATATTTGGATCATGGTCAACATAATTCTATGAAATATAACTCTGGTTGAGGTAAACGGTTTCCTGTAAAGAAATAATATTAAATCATAAATGTAACATTAAATTACAAGCATGTTTGAACGGAATTGTTAAAGCAATCCTTTAAAATAATGGCTTGTTAAATAAAAATTTTGTTAGATTTTTATTCATCTGCTTCACTGGTTAAATACCAAGTTAATTTAGCTTTCCATCAGTAACTTTATATTTTAAAGCTTATAGTTATATTTAAATTTAACATAATCAAACAAATCAAACAGTAGACAGACTCCAGAACTTATATTTTGGATTTTCTTCAAAAATAACATTAAAATAATATTAAAATAATAAAATTAAATAAATATCAAAATAATAAAATTAATCTTACTTTATTCTCTGGTAAGATTCAATATCACGATTTAAATTCTCATCTACAATCTCATATACAAAAGGTTACTGTAAAAGGGAATGAATATGAAAAACACAGAAACAGTAATACTCGTTGCACAAAAACATTATTCTATTGAGTTTAAAAATTAAAATATTTAAAAATATAGAAAATAGTTTCAATAAAATAAAGATAACAAATTTGTAAATAAAGATGCTTATTTTATTTAACAATATTATTCATCTTCTGAACTAAAAAATACACAAGAACTTTACTCTATTGAGTTTAAAAATATATAAAATATTGTAAAATAAAAATAACAAATATGTAAATAAAGATGCTTATTTTATTTAGCAATGTTATTCATCTTCTGAACTAAATTATTTAATGGCATTGAAAAACTTGATGTAGGCATCACTTTTTTCTTGGCTTGTTTGTTTTTTTGGTCTTGTCTAACTTTTTTTCTGCCATTGCGGTCTGATGCACCACGCAAAAAACGCACAACCTCATATTGAAAATCTGATTCAGTTGCTGAAGTTGTTGCAGGATTTCTTTTTACAGCTCCTAAAAATTAATTTAAGACTTTTATTTAACTATCTAGCAGGAAAACAAAAAATATATTTTTTAACTTAATTTCAGACATATATAGAATTTTTTTAAAAGCAATTTATTAACAAATTTTATTTATATATTTATTAATTTTTTATTTTTATATAGATAATAAATAAATTTTATTTATTTATCAACTATTAATTAACAAATAGATTAGTAATTACTAAATTAGACACAAGTAATTATTAAATTAGAGTAACAAGCCCATACAAAAAAAATACTTTTAAGCAAGTGTAAGTCTTTGTTTTACAAAGTTACTTTCATTGTCATTTATGGTAATACCAGACCAGTTAAGTTTACAGCAGAGGTTATTAGTGAATAACGCAAAGGACATTCTCTGGACAGCCTCCTTTAAAGTCTGGCCTCCTTTACTTGCCACAGCTATTATCTACAAAAAAAATAGAAAAAGCACCAGTAATATATATATTGAAGAATATCTTTTAAAAATTAAAAAAAAAATAGATATCAAATTAATTCCATTAATTATTGCATAACATTTATTAATAGGCTTTATGCCCTTTATTTCTGTTTATAAATGATCTAGCTGGTGTACCACAAATAAAAGCTGATATAGCAAACTTATATACTTTACCATTAATACCAGAATCAAATAAAGCAATACTTTCATTAACAAACATTTTTAGAAATTCATTACGGTCTTTTGGTGTAGACCTACTATAAAAAAGACTAATTATAAATGGGGTTTTATTGTGTTGAATATTGATTATCCACATTTTTTATTAAACCTAATATTGGCTAAAATTGTCCAATGCTGCTTTTAAATAATGGTAAATTATCAATGTTGACTTGAATTGATATACAATCCTTTTTCTTTAAAAAACTTAAATTATTACTTAAAATACCTTGTCTAATGCCAATATTTAATATCAATAGATTACTGTCAGAGTTCACTTCACAATATATATATAATATATATTATTTGCATCTTAAGGAATAGCACTCTCAGTTGAAAGTTTTCGATCTGATATACTTTTTAAATACAATGATTATACTTCTTCTGTTGAATGTGAAATATTGCTTGATTTAATGGTAAGATCTTTTAGGCAATATTCAACATTAGCTAATATCTTTCGTCGTTTTGTCCAAAAGCTCACTATTGAAACTTACATAAATTGTTTTATTTAAAAATGTATATATTATATATGTGTGTGTGTGTGTGTCTGTGTGTGTATATATAAAAACATATATATATATATATATATATATATATATATATATATATATATATATATATATATATATATATATATATATATATATATATATATATATATAAATATATATATACATATATATATATATATATTTATATATATATATATATATATATATATATATATATATATATATATATATATTTATATATATATATATATATATATATATATATATATATATATATATATATATATATATATATATATATATAACTTCATATTAGTTTAACATTGTTCTTGTTATATTATAAGTTATAATATAACTTATATGACTAGTCATGTAACTTTTAATATTACAAGAACAATGTTATACTAATATGGTTATAACATTGTTACATAACTGTATAATATTGTTAAAGTTATATATGTTTAAAATAAAATCAAATTAGAATTTTTAATTTTGAGTCTTATAAATATATATTGAACCTATATGTAAATCTATACTTAATATCTATACTAAGTATAGATATAGATATAATATATAGTAATCTATACTAAGTATAGATATAGATATAATATATAAGTATAGATATAGATATAAATATAAATTATAAATATAGATATGCATATAATATATTATAATATAATATATAGTAAAGTATACTTTATATTATAATATATTATATTTATATCTATATTTATAATTTATAAATATAGATAAAGGTATAAAATCGTGTAACTTTTAGTATTTATAAGCAATAATTATAGCTAGGTATATTTTATAATATAAAGACTTTATATTATAAAATATAATTTAATAAATAAAATAAATCGGACTTTATATTATAAAATATACAATATAGGTTATATATATTAAATCTACATCTATACCTTATTTAAGTATAGATGTAGATTTAATATATATAACCTATATTGTGAGACTTAAAAATAAAAAGACTAATTTGATTTTTTTTAATACTATTTATTTATTACTTACTGTTTTACATAGACTATGTACTACAGTATAAAATATAAAAATCAATCAATCTAAGTCTCATGGCTTACTTTTGGTGTTTTTACGACATCTTACCGTTATCCGGGAGCCAACTCGGGCATTGTGTTGGCAAAGCTAAAGCGTATCGTCATAAACTTACCGAAGCTGGCATGCCTATTTAAAATCGTATTGGCAACGAGGTGTTTTATCGCTATTCGGCCGATGGCGGAAAGTCAACACAAATTAGCATGCCGGTCCTAGATCAGCTACCCGGCAGCGGTAAGCCGCATTAGGAATCACAAAGGGCCAGCACCGGCATTCCGGCGGCGGCTTTGCGCATCGCGGTCCGCTGAAAGCATGTTTGCTGGGTAGTATGTTATTACTATATACTTCTGGCTTTTTCTCTGTTTCAAGCCAGTTTAGATATAACTTTTGTTCACAAATTTTATTTGACGCTATGTTCATAGTTTCATAAGTTTAAACTGATAAATAGCACTTTTTTTTTTTTTTTTTTTTTTTTTTTTGTTCTTTTCTTGAATATTCAGTATAGTTATACAATAAGATAGTTGAGATAAAAATCGTTATACAATAAAAGAAAATATATGCAAAAAAGAAAGAACGCGGAGACTCGCAGAAGACCTTCAGGTCTTATCATCGAGAACCGCTCGTGAATATTAAGTATATTAAATTAACATGAAGTATAAAATCTAAACAATGTCGTATTAAAAATTAGAGAGAACGTAAATTTCGTAATAATATATAAATAAAATTGGAATAAAGATATTGTTGATACTCTTATATATAAATACAAAAATATTTTAAAAAGTACTGCTTTCACAAACACATAAGTTATGGATCAGATATAATATTTATATATTACCTTATGTAATAAACTTCATATTCATTTTTAAAAGAATTTAAAAATATAAAAAAATGTCTTCAAAAGACAAAACAATTTCTTTTAGTTTTTTCTTGAATGAAAGATAATTCTATTCATGGGAAAAATCAAAATTTTTTAAAACTATTTTGTTCCATAGAAAAGCTCCTCGATATGAAATACATGACTTTCCAAAATTAGTTAAAGATAAAGGTTGCTGAATTTGATTATCAATTCTTAAGTTATATTTATTTTCATCTTTTAAGGTATATAGATTATGAAAAAAAACTGGAGATTCGTTGGTTTTACACTTGAACGTAAAACAAAGTATATATTAACATAAAACATTGGTTTTACACTTGAACATAAAACAAAGTATATAAAAATATTTAGCTGATAAATATTAAGAATTTTCTTTTGAAATAATAATGGTTTGGCATGAGCAAATCGATCTTTATAATTGATAAGCCGAGCAACATGCTTCTGCTGACGATAAAGAGGTAGCAGTTTAGATTTATTGGTATTACCCCAAGCAATATTTGCATAATTTATATGGCAATGGATCAAAGAGAAATATAATTGTGTTAAACTGTATTTATTTAAAGCATTTCCAGCCTTGTACATTACTCCTATATTTCGAGCAACTTTGTTGCACAATAAAATTTATTGTTTTTGTTCATTTTAGATTAGTATAGCAAAAAATTATTCAA